TCTCCTGTTTTCAGGCACAACACCTAACCCCGTTGTTTCCAACCCTGGGTAGTTGAAGGATGGGGGGACTCCAACCCCCAAATCTCCCAAGCCGGCGTGGCTGGCTGGGGAATTCTGGGAGTTGAAGTCCACCCATCTTCAAGCTGCCAAGGTTGAGAAACACTCCCTTAACCACTACACTAAACTGGTTCTCTTTTGTTAAAGGGCTGTAAAACGAGGCCTTGCAAACATTATTCATAAATTTGCAGGTATAACATAAGAATTCCCAGGCTTATATTAAACAATTGAGCTACCGTTTTGTGGATTTGAGTCCAAAGTTAGCCGTCAAGCTGACGTTAGCCATGCTTTCTTTTAAACTCAGAAAAGGATTTTTTAAGCTTGGTATCAGTCCCATCTTAACTCCCCTGTGTGCTTTTCCTTCGTTGTTATTTTTTCTTTCTCTTTTTCTTCTTCTTACTTTTTTTTTCATTTTTATGTATTTTGTTATGATCTGGAGTCACGATAATAAATGGATTGATGATCACAGCTTTTAACCATCTGTTTTGGCGGGGGGCAGGTGGTGATGGTAATATACTTATTTGTTTTTGGAGTATGTGGTTGTATTTTGGACTAAGCACAGTTTCTTGAGGTAGACCCGTGTACAAGATACTGGAGGAACCAGGCCTTCTCCATTGAGCGTCCCCCAGAGAGGTCAAGATTGGAATTCCCAGCATGACACCCAAGAGTGCCAGACTGGGAGAAGTTGGGGAAGTCTAACCTTGAGGTTGCTAAAGCTGGTCTCACTTTATCTCTGCCTAGCAGAGGCCATAGTGGCACATCAAACTTGGTCCATGAAATACGCCATAGACATCACTTTCATGTCCTTCAAGGAAAGTGGTAGACCCAGAACCATTTGAATACTCATTTTCCACTCAGATACACCATCCACCAATAGTCCGTGTTGTTAGGAGTGGAACTTTCTATAGTGGCCCCCTTCTAGTTCATTACGGCTGTCCAAACTTTCCACAGTCACTGCCTTTTTTGCTAATTGTCTTTATTTTGTCTTGCATTATCATGGTTTTTAATTTTACGTCTCGTTGTTAGCTGGGTCGTTTTGAATTGGGGTGGATTATAAATGCTGCCAAATCC